ATTTGCCAGGAAGGTGTCAAAATTCTGTATTTGTTTGTACCTCAGTTACAGCCTCAAATATTTAATGCAAAAGTTGACAAAACTACAGGGAAGGAAGAAACCCACAATCATCTCGGTATTCAATAGAATAATTAGACCAAATTTTTAAAAGACAGGAAAAATATAGACGTTCTGAACCACACAATTAGCACTCTCGATCTAATGGATTACCCAGAACACTGACCCCACGACTGCATGACACATTCTTTTCAAGACAAAAATTGGTCATATGGTGTCTTTTAAATAACATCAAAAAATAGAAATCATCAAAGTATATTCGCAGATCCCAGTGCAACTAAGCTAAAAATCAGTAACAAAAAGATAACTAGAAAACCTCCGTATGTTTGGAAATTAAGAAATATACTTCAGAGAATATGGGAGGGAATAAGATACAGGACCCAGGTGGAAGGTTGCTTTTGCCAAGAGGAAGGACCCCCTTTTTGTTAACCTCCGCATGTCTGGCCCATAGCTGCACCGCCTCCCAATGCAGTTTTGAACAAGCTGAATTAATCATCCTGGGAAGTGTTCAAAAATGAGTCCAAACGGTGGACTCCAGGACTTCCTTGCTGACTTTCTTACTTTGATCAACTAACTCCATAGCATGATCTTAACAGTTGTAGTTCTCAAGGTTCCCTAAAAAGGAACTTCTTGTTCTCTCCAAGTTACAGACCCATCACTGAGGGGCAGGGAATGAAGTTAACTCCTCCACAAACTAAGTGCTGCTCAGGTCCACATCTAGATGTTTCGGTCCCACAAGCACCCAGAGCCTGACATTATTTTGTAAAAACAGATCCTGACAGAGCCAGGAGCAAGAAGAGCCGTCAAGCCCATCTCTGTGAGGGAGCTGGGGCTTGGCAGACACAGGCTTGGGTAGGGCCACAATGCTCCTCTGAATGGATTTTGGGTTAACCAGAGATGAAAAACTCAAGTTCAAGGTCAGAGGTCTTTTCCCAAGATGGACAGGTGGCAAAGGGGCCTATCAGAATCACAAGAGAAGCTTCATGAACATGAAATATTCTTCCCTGGGCCATTCCAGGCCACAGACTACAGGTTTTCCATCTTTCAGCCCTGAAAACTCTCTGCCTACTTCTTTTCTTTTTCACATGAAATCTTATCAGGGTTAACAGGTGAAACTGGAAGCAGTGAGAGCCCTGGAATCCCACTCTCTTGGCTACCCCAACTCTCCAGCCACCACCATGGCGCCTGGCCACAGACATCCTGAACTTTTAAAAGAGTATGTGTAACCAAATACCTATTTCAACCAAAAAAAAAAAAAAAGTCTTGAGAAAGTCTAGCTTTGAGTAAGGCAACTTCCTGGTACACACTCCAAAGTAAACCTGATGCAAAATGTATGAGTGAGGAAACGGGCCACATAGAGTTATTAATTGCAGACCTGCTAAAAACAGCGAATACTGGTGACACTCGTAAAGTAAAAAGTGGCCACACACACACAGCCCTTTCTTTGGGGTTAACAGTTATCAGTGGCCAGTCCAGCCCACCCTTTTTTTTTTTTTTTTTTTTGAGATGGAGTCTCGCTCTGTTGCCAAGGCTGGAGTGCAGTGGCGCAATCACAGTTCACTACAACCTCCATCTCCCCAGTTCAAGTGATTCTCCTACCTCAGTCTCCCAAGTAGCTGGGATTACAGGCATGCACCACCATGCCTGGCTAATATTTCTGTATTTTTTTAGTAGAGACGGGATTTTACCATGTTGGTTCAGGCTGGTCTTGAACTCCTGAACTCAAATGATCCTCAGCTTCCCAAAGTGCTGGGATTACAGGCATGAGCCATCACGCCTGGCCTAGCCTATACTATTTTGGAATAACAAAGTTCTTCCATCTGTAGATAGAACGTTTGTCCTACAAACAGCTCATCTAAAACAGTCCGACATCACATAACAATGATAAAATAGGGAGGGAGGGCCAACCCATGATCCCCTCCTCCACATCCACTGCCTCCCAGAAAAGCTTTCCCTGATGTGACTTGATAGGATGGTCTCAGCTCAGGCTGCGGATGCTGTTCAATTCACCAAAACAACAGCCCCAGGCAGGACATCTTACATGTTTGTATACCCCAGGTTCCGATTCCACAGGAGGGACGGGCTCTGCTCACGTCAAAAACATTAAAATGCACCCAGCCTCCCACATTCAATCGTTTCCGTTTAAACATTTCAAATGAACTGTATCACTCTGCTTTTCAAACAATTATTTATTTTGCCCAGTTTTTGGTTGTTCAAATTTTTGTTTGTTTGTTTGGGGACAGAGTCTCACTGTGTCACCCAGGCTGGAGTGCAGTGGTGCCATCTCAGCTCACCGCAGCCTTGACCTCCTGGGCTCAAGTGATCCTCCCCACTCAGCCTCCTGAGTAGCTGAGACTACAGGTGCACACTACCATACCCAACTAATTTTTTGTGGTTTTTTTTGTAGAGGCAGGGTCTTACTATGTGGTGCAGGCTGGTCTTGAACTCCCTGGCTCAAGTGATCCTCCCATTTCGGCCTCCCAAAGTGCTGGGATGACAGGCATGTGCCAATATGCCTGGTCTGTTGTTCGAATTTTGGATCCAAGAATATTTTCTCAGGTCTCAAACATTTTTGAGATCCTTGAAAATCTTGGTGATTCCATGCATTGCTGCTATCCCTAGTACCCATCGGATAAATCAGTCCTACCCTGTGAAGCTCACTGCAGGGTTTACTTGTGAGGAAAACATTGAGGACAGCATTTGTTCTACTAAAAGCAGTGTCCTCTCTGTGTGGACCTTGAGTTCCTTGAGCACAAGGGCTGTGTGGTCTTTCTCACCCCCAGGTCCCCACACCAAGAGCCTGGCCTGGCATGCAACTGTTTAATGTTCAACTAGTGGTAATGCCTAAACTGGACTTCTGTGCGCTGTCTGAAAATCACCCTTCCTAGGGCATGTTGACCCCATTCCCCAATCCAGGAACACAGGCCACCACTCTTTTATATCTTTGAGCAAATTAGAAAAAAAAAAAATGCCTCCCCTGGGCTGTTACACTCCACTAGGAAATCCTTCCCTGGGGCTTACTCACGCCTTCCACGTCTTTCCACAGAGTTGGAGTCCACCCCTCACCCTTACCAGGCCCACACACGTGCAGGCACACATCCACACACGGCAGGCTGTGTGCACACAGACGATTCCCTCGCCTTTATAGGTGCTATTCCTTTGACTTGAAAATCCCATCAATTCTAATCTGCACATACAAACTTCAGCGCCCAGCCCAAATATCACTTTCTTTGTGACTCCTCCCCCTACACCTCTCAGGCAGATTGCATCACGTCCTCCTTTTTATTCCCATCACGGTGGAAGGTACCCCTATTTGAGTCTTGCCAGGTTGCATCAAATTTCTTTCTTCCAGGTTTGGTCCCCTGCTGAACTGTGTTCTCAAGGGGAAGAACCGTGTCTCAGTCATCTCAGTCTCCAATGCCTAGGATGAGACCTCTTTTTTTTTTTTTTTTTTTTTTTTGAGACAGAGTCTCGCTCTGTCGCCCAGGCTGGAGTGCAGTGGTGCGATCTCGGCTCACTGCAAGCTCCGCCTCCCGGGTTCACGCCATTCTCCTGCCTCAGCCTCCCGAGTAGCTGGGACTACAGGCGCCCGCCACCACGCCCGGCTAATATTTTGTATTTTTAGTAGAGACGGGGTTTCACTGTGTTAGCCAGGATGGTCTCGATCTCCTGACCTCGTGATCTGCCTGCCTTGGCCTCCCAAAGTGCTGGGATTGCAGGCTTGAGCCACCGCGCCCAGCCGAGACCTTTTTTATACATGGTGGTTTTTCAAAAAATGTTTTAGACTGAATGCAGAACTCGAGTCAAGTGACTCCTCAGCTCAAAATCTCTACAGAACCTTCCCCTTTGCTTCCTGGCTTTGTTTCAAACTCCTCCACCAGGCACGCGGAAGCTCAGTCCACAGCTCTCCGCTAGCCTCCCCACCTCACCTGCGTGGGCTCACCTGGGCTTCCAGGTGCTGCTGGTACAGCCCACCTCTGACACCTCCTTACCTCTGCATCTTTACTCATCTGTCCCTCTACCTACAGTGCCATCTTCCCCTCTCCCCCTGTCAAAATTCTAGCCATCCTTCAAGGCCCGAGCCAAATGCCATTTTCTTTCTCTCTTCCCTTCCCTCCCCTCCCCTCCCCTCCCCTCCTTTTCCTTTCCTTTCCATTCTTTTTTGAGACAGAGTCTCCCTCTATCACCCAGGCTGGAATGCAGGGGCAGGATCTCAGCTTACTGCAACCTTTGTCTTCCAGGTTCAAGCGATTTTCCTGCCTCAGCTTCCTGAGTAGCTGGGACTATAGGCATGCACCACCATACCTGGCTAATTTTTGTATTTTTGTTAGAGATGGGGTTTCACCATGTTGGCCAGGCTGGTCTTGAACTCCTGACTTCAAGTGATCCACCTGCCTCAGCCTCCCAGAGTGCTGGGATTACAGGGTGAGCCCTCATGCCCAACCTCCAATGCCATTTTCTTCTTGAAGCGTCCCACCAGCAGATGTGACCTCCACTGTTGAAACCCACAGTGCTTTATCCTTCCCAAGCCATTCCCCGAACACTGCTCGGGGGTTGAATGATGTGTGTTTGTCATTAACGCACTTCGAGAGCAGGTATCTCCCGACTTCAGCATAGTGCAATCAGTGCACACAGTAGGTGCTCAGTGAATATTGGACCAAATGGAATTGAGCATCCATGCTACACCTGCAGATGGGAGAGGCAGCAAACTTATGTCCCAAGAACCAACATGACACAGATCTCTCTTATCCTCCCGTTTTTTTCTCAATAAGGACAAAATTTGTGCTCAGGGGAGAAGGGCATAGCGTGCCCCTCCCTTCCTTCCTCAGCCAACAGTTTGGTTTCCCTTCTAGAGAGGTGAGAGAAGGTGTGACAGGCCAAGTTTCCTTTGCTCCACCCCGTCGTGTTTCCCCCAAACACCCAGCGTAAGTTCACGTCTGGCAGAGTTGCTTTCCAGCTCCTGCAGGCTGGAGTCGGCTCACCTGCAGTAGGCACTCAGCACAACTCTGCGAGACCGGCTCACCTGCACCCAGCACTCAGCACAGCTTCCAGCATGCAGAGCCTCCCCACTGCCACCTGGGCCACCTTGATCCTCGGCCTGGCCTTTGCCTCCCTCCACTCGGCTTGCTCGGCAGGTAGCGTTATGAGCTTTATTCGTGGCCAGGCTGGGAAGGGGGAGGGAAGGAGGGAAAAGAGAGGTGGGAGGGAAAGGAGGAGGAGGAGGGGGAAGATTCTTTGGCCAGGGTTGGTCCTGCACAAAGGAAGGAGGAAACAGAACTTTCTCATCTGAAGGATTAGGCAGGGGGTGGGAGGTGGGGCTGGGGTGGGGGTGGTCTTAGGTTGGCCTAAGACAGAGATCAGGTACTCAATTCCTCATCTAGGGCAGGAGCAGTCACCTCTCTTGGCCTTTGCCACACAGAAAGGAAAAAGTTATTTGCTGGAGTCTCACCCATCAGAGGACCAAAATGACATCTCTTGGTCCGCTGTGTCCTGAAGGCTCCTTCTCAGCCCCCTGAGCTCTCGTGCTTTGCAATCCTCTCCGTGCACATTTGTGTCTGACCTTCCCTTTCCTAAGTCCTCTGTCCCTCTCTGTCCCCTGTACTTTCTCTGCGACTTTCACAGAACCTGACTGCCAGGAGGGCTGCCATTCACTGTCTCCCACCCTCCTGCCTCCCCGGGCACTGGAAATGTGGGTTATCTCCCTATTTTCCTACAGAGGCTGGAAGGCTGATCTACACCCGCTGCCTTGCCCTGCCAGGCCGGGGTCTGCAACTCATGGCAGAGGGACCTTGGTTACCATCTCATGCTCCTGGCTTTGATCTTGTTCTCAGCCACCTCAGACCATCACCACATTTTCTATGCCCTGCAACACTCTCCCGCTCCCAAAACCAACCCTGCACCCCAAAGTCCTGTATCTGCGCCTCTCATCCTCAGACTCTCTTCTGCAGCCACTGCCAGGGGTATTGGTGTTGAGGTTCAAGACGTGTGCTCTTGAGCCGCTGAGCCTGAACCCAACTCCATCTTCCATGACTCACTAGCTATGCAACCTCAAGCAAATTACTTTCCCTCTCTATGCCCAGTTTCCTCCTTTATCTCATGGGGACCATCATAGTGCTTGTCAAGAGAAATTAATATAATTTCATGTAAAGAACTCTACTAAAAACATAGAAAATTAGCCAGACGTGGTGGCGGGCGCCTGTAGTCCCAGCTACTCGGGAGGCTGAGGCAGGAGAATGGCGTGAACCTGGGAGGCGGAGCTTGCAGTGAGCTGAGATCGGGCCACTGCACTCCAGCCTGGGCGAAAGAGCAAGACTTCATCTCAAAACAAAAACAAAAACAAAAAAACAATAACAACAACAAAAGAAATAGCCCATAGAACGCACACAGTGAATGTCAGCAATTATAGTAAGCACATTCATTTTATTTTCCAGCTTCACCCCTCTCCAAATTAGAGTGCTGTTTCTTTCTACTCACTCTGACAGTGCCTTGCTTGTGATGGGAGCTGAAAATTAGAAGACAAGTTTAACTGCACTGAATTGTTGGGTCTTCCCAGCAGCTCTTCCTGTGGAATAGCCCCAAGTGGGCCAGTCCCTCCCTCGCTTCTGGCTCTGCTTATAAGGGAGGAGGGTGATGTTTAAATTCTTAGGAATTTTCACCGGGGCTATTTCATTTGAACCACAGAAAATTACTGATATCGAACAATTTTGACCTATAACAATGGCAATTTCATAAGCTTGAACCTAACCCTAGCATTCAGCCAACTAGGGTTTTTTTCCACTCACTTTGGAAGAGGACAACTTCCATTCTAGGTGTAGAGGTGAGATGAAAGTCAGGGCCAAGGAAGTTATTTGAGTCATAAGGAAAATTAGAATAGTGAGGAATCAGTTTCTCCAAAACAAATAAAGACCAGGCTCTAAGCCATTTAGCTGTAAATAATTTACAGTAACAGATTGCATCAAGGCAATTACTATACTTTAAGCAGGACATTGGAGTGGCTTGGGGGTTGGGTGGCATAAAATTAGTCTCAGCAGCAATTTCATGGTTTTAGCTAAACAGCAGGTTTCTTCTTAACTCGTCCTGCTGTGTGACAACACACACCTTTGAAGGACACGCTGACCCATAGTCAGGGGAGCCTTGAGAGTTTCCACACCCACCACCTTTTTTTTTTTCCTTTTTGCATTCCCAAAGAAGCAGAATGAACAGTAATATAATTTCTAGGAAGGTTCTTCCAATCCTCTCTTGGTTTCCATCTATCTAGGTCAGCATTAGCACTGTCTAATAATAGAACTTACACTGAGGGTGGAAACGTCCCATGTCTGAATGGTGCTTCCAATATGGTAGCCACTATTCACACGTGGCAATGGAACCCTTGGCATGTGTCTAATGTAACCAAGAAGCTGAGTTTTTTACTGAATTTAAATGTAATAAATTTAAACAGCCACAAGTGGCTAGTGGCTGCCGTATTGAACAGTATGAACTTAGAGGTCATCTCTCTTCTTATCGTCAGTTATGGACAGGAACCTGGATGCCTCAGATCCCTAACCCAATCCCACACCCCAAGCCAACAGGACTTTAAGAATTCATGCTGAAGTCCTTTTCATCTTTCCACTCCTTGCTCACGAATCAATCTATGTGCTGCGTATTCCGGCAATCTCTGGGCTTGTCTGTATGATGTTTAATTTTCTTTGACAGCCATCATTCTGGAGGCTGGAAGTCCAAGATCAAGGTGTTGATGGCTTGATTTCTCCTGAGGCCTCCCTGCTTGGGTTGCAGATAGATGCCTTCTCACTGGGTCCTCACGTGGACTTTTCTCTGTGCATGTATGCTGCTGATGTTTCTTCTTCTTCTTTTTTTTTTAGATGGAGTTTCGCTCTTGTCACCCAGGCTGGAGTGCAATGGTGTGATCTCAGCTCACTGCAACCTCCGCCTCCGGGGTTCAAGCGATTCTGCTGCCTCAGCCTCCCAAGTAGCTGGGATTACAGGCATGCACCACCACGCCCAGCTAATTTTTGTATCTTTAGTAGAGATGGGGTTTCACCATGTTGGCCAGGCTGGTCTTGAACTCCTGACCTCAGGTGATCTGCCCACCTCGGCCTCCCAAAGTGTTGGGATTACAGGTATGAATCACTGCACCCGGCCTCTTCCTCGTCTTCTAAGGACCCTGCCATATTGGATTAGGGCCCACCCACAGGACCTCATTTAAGCTTAACTGCATCTTTGAAGGCCCCATCTTCAAATACAATCACACCGTGGGTTAGGACTTCAACATATGAAACTGGGGAGAGGGGAACATAATTCGGTCCATAACAGGGAGTTAGCTGGTTGCAGAAAGCCTCAATATGCCCATGCTGGAGCTTCTATAATACTTTTATAATACTCACTACGGATTTACAAAAAATATTTCAAAATCTATGCCTGGGAATGGCTTTTGCTGGTGCCTGAGACTATCTCCCATCTTTTCTTCCAGAAGCAAGCAGCAGCAACAGCTCAACCTTGACCGCTCACCACCCAGACCCTGGGACCCTGGAGCTGTGCCTCAGTAAGCTTCTCCTACCAACTGCTCTAACCCCAGAACTGGCCCTCAGCCTGGGAGGGAAACAAAGGCCTCCCCGCTTTCCGTTGGTTGGTGTCAAGTGGCCAAGGGCCTTCCTGGCCTTCCTGTGCACCAGTGTGGTTTGTCCCAGAACTATATGCAGAGCAGGTCTAAAAGGCTTTCTTGGCTCTGATCCCCATCTAGGTGCACAATCTTTGACACAGATCGCTTTAATGACCCATCCCAGGTCAGCAGCTAACAATGCCCTAGGTTCAAATACTTGAAGAAGTTTGGAGGTGGAAAGGCCATAAAAAATCATCTAGTCCAACTTCCACCCAATGCAAGAGCTTGGTTTTGCTATCCTTGACATACATATTTCTTCTTCTTCTGTGCACGTTCTTCCTCTTCTTGCATACTTCTAGCCACAAGGCGCTCAGTAATCCATACAGCAACCACTATTATGCATGTCTAGCTAATAGAAAGTTTTGCAGCTGGGCACAGTGGCTCACGCCTATAATCCCAGCACTTTGGGAAGCCGAGGTGGGTAGATCACCTGAGGTCGGGAGTTTGAGACTAGCCGGACCAACATGGTGAAACCCCATCTCTACTAAAAATAAAAAAAAAATTATCAGGTATCTACTAAAAATACAAAAAAATACAGGTGGTGGCATGCACCTGTAGTGCTAGCTACTAGGGAGGCTGAGACAGAAGAATTGCTTGAACCTGGGAGGCAGAGGTTGCAGTGAGCTGAGATTGCACCACTGCACTCCAGCCAGGACAACACAGTGAGACTCCTTCTCAAAAAGAAAAGAAGAACGTTTTGCTTTATTTTGTCTGGTTCCCTTTATCCGGCCCTCATTGAATGACCGAATGCATTAACTTGGGCACTTAAAAGGAAGGGTAGGCTGGGCGTGGGGGGTCATGCCTGTAATCCCAGCACTTTGGGAGGCCAAGGCAGGTGGATCACTTGAGACCAGCAGTTCAAGACCAGCCTGGCCAACAGGGCGAAACCCCTTCTCTACTAAAAACACAAAACGTTAGCCAGATGTGGTGGCGCGCACCTGTAATCCCAGCTACTTGGGAGGCTAAGGCAGGAGAATTGCTTGAATCCAGAAGGTGGAGGTTGCAGTGAGCCGAGATCATGCCACTGCACTCCAGCCTGGGCGACAGAGTGAGACTCTGTCTCAAAAAGAAAAAAAAAAAAAAGGAAGGGTATTAGGGAATAATACATAGAGGTTAAGAGTATGGCTTCAGAGTCCTGCAGACTTGGTTTGAGTTCTCCTTCTTCCATCTTGTGACCTTGGGCAAGTTACAGCCTCAGTTTCTTCATGTAAAATGGGAATAAAAATTGCACCTGTCACTTTGTGAGGAAGGCATAAGCTAATGTGTAAAAGCACACAGCACAGTGCATGGCACGTAGTAGACCCACATCAGTGTCAGCTACCGCACTGTGACTGTTCTGTTAGTATTAATGGTAGAGAAGCCTGGGTGGGACTGGTGGTGCATGCCTCGTCCTTACTCTCCCTTCCCCACCAGACGTGGACTTCTGCCCACAAGCAGCCCGGTGCTGCCGCGCAGGAGTGGACGAGTACGGCTGGATCGCGGCGGCTGTTGGCTGGAGCCTCTGGTTCCTCACCCTCATCCTGCTCTGTGTGGACAAACTGATGAAGCTGACTCCAGATGAGCTCAAGGACTTGCAAGCATGAGACCCAGGCTCGGTGCACAAAACAGTGATCGCCACCAATTTGTGGCTAATGGGGAAGGGGAGTAGGGCTATCATGGTTTCTATTATTTAAGTCATTTTCACCTTTAAGCTTCAGTTACTTTTACAAGGGAAAGAAGAAAGAGCAGGAGAACCAAGTGAGGCAAGCCACTGCTGCCCTTGCATGCTGCTACCAAGGGCCCCTGGGCCTTCTGAGCCCAGGTGACTCCTCTCTCAAGATAGTCCTTCTGGAATTTGTCCTGTTTTAACCTTTCTTCTAGGCACCAAGGGAGGTACACAAGAAACTATAAGACTTAGTCTCATCGTCAACATGTTCAGAAACAAATGCATAACCTTCTCACCAAAACCAGGTCATTGGCTTCTCTCCCTGCTTGAGTCCCGGGCTTAACTGTCATTTCAGAATGTGAGAATCAGTCAGGTATGGTAGCTCATGCCTGTAATCCCAGCATTTTGGGAAGCAGAGGTGGGCAGATCACTCAAGGTCAGGAGTTCCAGATCAGCCCGGTCAACATGGTGAAACCCTGTCTCTATTAAAAATACAAAAATTAGCCAGGTGTGGTGGTGCACACCTGTAATCCTAGCTACTTGGGAGGCTGAGGCAGGAGAATCTCTTGAACCTGGGAGGCGGAGGTTGCAGTGAACCAAGATCATGCCACTGCACTCCAGCCTGGGGGACAGAGCAAGACTCTGTATCAAAAAAAAAATGTGAGGATTGGTTGGGCATGGTGGCTCATGCCTATAATCCCAGCACTTTGAGAGACTGAGACAGGAGGATCACTTTAGCCGAGAAATTCAAGACCAGCCTAGGCAAGATGGCAAGACCTTGTCTCTATTAAAATTTTTTTAAAGTTAAAAATAAAAATGTGAGAATCCCCTTGACACTCCCACCATCTTCACCCACCTCGGGTCCTTCTCCAGCTCTCCTTCTGGCTTCATCCTGTCTTCCATGGCTCTCCTGTCCCACCCATTCTCCCCGCCGGGTGCCCTAGGTCTGGCCTTCACTGCCTTCCCCTAGGGATATTGCATTCTGTCCTCACTGCCTTGAGGATCTTCCTCCCCAGCTCTTCACTTCCTATGGGCAGCTGCCAGGGTAGGAGCTGTCACCTCCTGCTGGCAACAGTCAGTAGTTCCTAAGGACTAAAACTTCTCAGCCCAGCATTCAGCTCTCTGTAGGAGTCCATCTGTCCCCCAGCACATGCAGGAGTAAGGACTCTGACTGGCCCACTCCTCATCCTGGTGTCTTCAGCTTCCGGCTGCCATTTTCTTGTCTGGGATGGCTGCTTCCCAGCTCCACCTCCAGAATCAAGGATATTCCTCCAAACCCAGCTTGAACGCTTGATCTGCCTGGAGCCTTCCTGGTGATCCTCGGGTGACCTGGAGCTGGTGCTCTTAGCGCACTTCTGTTCCGCCCTGACGTGCAGCAGTTGTGAATGGGCCCCTCCGTAGTTTATCCTTCCTCACCCCGCTGGGGCATAGTACCCTATGCAAGTTTGTCCAGCGAGTGCATGGGTGAATTAATGAATGAATGAACAAATGAGTCTTTGCCCTAGACGACTTAAGGTCCTCACTCGGCATTAGGAGCCTCCACTTTTCTCCAGATGGTTGAAATAACCAGCCTCTGAAGGAGCCAGTGGTTTGGTCACTGCTCTCTCAAATTACAGTCATTGTCACTTAGCGCGGAGAGTGGACGTTGCACATTACTGTGAACCCTTGCAGAGGAGGGGAGGGCAGGTTTATCAGAAGAAAGGACAAAATGACTCCTTATGAAGCAATTTCTGCCCTCTGTGAGAAAACATGTATTTAGATCAGACAAACTCTAGTCAAAATACAAAAAAGAAAAACAAAAGACCTCTGAAATAGGAACAGTCTCTCGAAGAGGCAAATGACTCAAAACTGCTCAATTGCTCTTTCAGAAAATCTAAGTAAACTTCCCTGACAACAGAAACTGAAGAGGTTGCCTGGTTCATCTTGTAGTCTTCCAAAACAGCAGATAATTTCTGAATCTCAGATGTTCAATCAGTACAATGGGATGGATTTCTTGTTCCTAAGTGTTAAATGATCACATACATAAAAGCGTCTGAGCCTGAGCAACATAGTGAGTCCCTGTCTCTACAAAAATAAAAATAAAATAATTAGCCAGGCATGGTGGAGCACACTGATAGTCCCAGCTACTCAGGAGGCTGAGGTAGGCAGATCACTTGAGCTAGGGAGTTCAAGGCTGCAGTGAGCCATGTTCACGCCACTGCACTCCAGCCTGGGCAACAAAGTGAGACCCTATCTGGAAAAAAAAAAAAAAGTGTCTGCATAATGCCCGGTGCATTTTGTGGATAGACAATATGAGTATGTGTTCCATGTTTTTAGAAATTCAAAGGAAGAGTTTCCACAATATGTGATGGTTTATTTCCCAAGAGATGAAAAGATTCATTAAGGTGCATGCTTTGATTTAACATCTGCAAACATTTAAAAAAATATAACAGTGTGTGACATAGCAGTGAGAGTACTATCTTTTTTTAAAAAGGGAAATTAAGATTTATTTCTGGCCTATGTGAACAGAAATAAGTCACTTTATCTCACTGGGCACCAATTTTCTATGTGGAAAATAGAAGAATTGGACCAAATTAGCAGTTTCAAGCTGAGCCGCAAAAGTTCACGGAGCCATTTCAGTCGCTTCATGGAATCGAAGTGAGCATGAGGCCCACTGTTCTTTCAACCTGAGCAGCTTGGCTCTTGTGTCATACATTAAACCTTGTGGTAGGGTTTTCTTTTTTTTTTTTTTTCTGCTTTAATAAGTGAAGGATCAGGGCACCAGTTGGTATCTGAGGTGTCCTCCTGTCTGGGGAACCCCATAGATTCTTAGACTACCTTAAAGTGAAAAGTATGTGCAGTCTGACATCTCACATTAAAATGTAGGCATTTTGTCAATTGCTTTTCTTTCATGTACACAAGCGAAAGGATAGAATGAATCAATTCAACCACTCTTTTCCTTGAGACTGTAAAGAAAATGGCTCTATAGTTTGATGGTTCTACTTCCAGGATGCTACCTCTCAGATTTATTGTCAACAGAAAATGTTTTGATTACAGCAGACCAGATCTTTATCTGTCAATAAGTTAAAAAAGGTAATCTGGGCTGGATGTGGTGGCTCACGCCCGTAATTCCAGCACTTTGGGAGGCCAAGACGGGAGGATTGCTTGAGCCCAGGAATTTGAGACCAGCCCTGGCAACACAGCGAAACCCCATCTCTACAAAAAATACGAAAAAATTATTTGGGACTGGTGGCGCATGCCTGTGGTCCCAGCTACGTGGGAGGCTGAGGTGAGAAGATCATTTGAGCCCAGGAGGCTGAGGCTGCAGTGAGCTATGATCTTGCCATTGCACTCCAGCCTGGGGGACAGAGTGAGATCTTGCCTCAAAAAGAAAAAAAGAAAAAAGAAAATCTGAGAGGGAAAGCAGGCATCAACTTCCAGCAATCTAAAAATTTCCTAACTTAAAGCAACAGAACTTACCTAATGGTAGATGGACTTTTCATTTTAAAACTTTGCCTTTAGCAGTGGACACTGTCCTCAATATAGCTACAGTTTATGTAACACAGAGTCCATATGATATGGGGCATGCCTGTATCAAAATGTCATATGTAGAAATAAAGTATTAAATATTAAGGTGTGGCATAATTATCTGACTTTAAAAATCATCATTTAGTGGCCCAGCACGGTGGCTCATGCCTGTAATCCCAGCACTTTGGGAGGCCGAGGCAGGCAGATCACCTGAGGTCAGGAGTTTGAGACCAGCCTGGTCAACATGGTGAAACCTTGTTTCTACGAAAAATACAAAAAATTAGCCAGGTGTGGTGGTGGGTCCCTGTAATCCCAGCTACTTGCCGGGGTGGGGCAGGAGAATTGCTTGAACCTTGGAGGCAGAGTTTGCAACAAGCCAAGATTGGGCCACTGCACTCCAGCCTAGGAGACAGAATGACACTCTGTCTCAAATAAATAAATAAATTACATTAAATAAAAATCATCATTTAAAAATCTATTCCTGGCCGGGCACGGTGGCTCAAGCCTGTAATCCCAGCACTTTGGGAGGCTGAGACGGGAGGATCATGAGGTCAGGAGATCGAGACCATCCTGGCTAACACGGTGAAACCCCATCTCTACTAAAAAATACAAAAAACTAGCCGGGCGAGGTGGCGGGCGCCTGTAGTCCCAGCTACTCAGGAGGCTGAGGCAGGAGAATGGTGTAAACCCGGGAGGCGGAACTTGCAGTGAGCCGAGATCCGGCCACTGCACTCCAGCCTGGGCAACAGAGCGAGACTCCATCTCAAAAAAAAAAAAAAAAATCTATTCCTGGCTGGGTGCGGTGGCTCACGCCTGTAATCCAAGCACTTTGGGAGTCTGAGGTGGGCGGATCACCTGAGGTCGGGAGTTCAAAACCAGCCTGACCAACATGGAGAAACCCCGTCTCTACCAAAATTACCAAATTAGCTGGCATGGTGGCGCATGATTGTAATCCCAGCTACTTGGGAGGCTGAGACAGGAGAATTGCTTGAACCCAGGAGGCAGAGGTTACGGTCAGCCAGGATCGCACCATTGCACTCCAGCCTAGGCAACAAGAGCAAAATTCCATCTCAAAAAAAAAAAATATATATATATATATATATATATATTCATATGCATGACACCTAACGCAAACAAAACAAATATACAATTTTTTATTAACAATTAAATTTTACAGCATGTAAGATTAATCAGCTGGACCTGGTGGTGCACATCTGTAGTCCCACCTACTGTGGAATCTGAGGAGGGAGGACGGCTTGGGCCCAGTGATTAATTGCTTTGAAGGTGTAATGCCCAGTGATCATGCCTGTGAATAGCCACTGCACTCTAGCCTGGGTGACACAGCAAGACATTGTCTCTAAAATAAAACAAAGCAAAACAAAAAATTAATCAAAAACAAGTCTTAGGATAGCTTGAGCCTTGTCTTAGTCGTTTTGGACTGCTGTAACAAATTATCATAGACTGGGTAGCTTTTAAACAACAGACATTTATTTCTCATGGTTCTGGAGGCTGGAAGTCTGAAATCAGGGTGCCAGCACGGGTGGTTTCTGGGGAGGGTCCACTTCTTGATTCATGGACAGCCGTCCTCTCGTTGCATCTCATGTGGTGGAAAGAGGGCAAAGGAGTTCTCTGGAGCCCCTTCTACAAGGGCACTAATCCCAATCGTGAGGGCTCCACCCTTATGACCTAATCACCTCCTAAAGGCCCCACCTCCAAATACCATCACCTTGGGCACTAGGATTCAACATGAATTTTAGGGGGACACAAATATTCAGTCTATGGGAGACCTCATTTCTACAAAAATATACCAAAGCATATTTTTAAACTTGGAGAAATGTTAATCTAGATGTTTCTGATGAAGAAATTGCTCTGTCTGAACCCCAGTATCCATTCTGAAGTCATCTATAGGGGATCTTCCTTGCCATGTGGTAGGAGTGCCTTGTAAACACCCTCTGCCTGGCATCTACTTCCAGCCTTACCTGGCTCCAGCCCCTCCTCCTCACTTCTTCGAGAGTGATCTGTCTAATACATAAATAAGCAATCAAATCATCCCTTCCAAAATCCTTCTGTGGCTCTGCACAGCTGACAGAACAGGATTTTT